TTTTTATAACCCAACCCTGATCTGTCCTTCTCCACAACTTTGTCCCTGACCTGTTTGGAGAGCTCCTTGGTCTTACATGGTGCCGCTTGCTTGGTGGTATCCCTTGCTTAGTGGTGTTGCAGACTCTGGGGCTTTGAGAACAAGTGTATATATACTGAGATCATGTGACACTTAGATTACACACAGGTGGACTTTATTTAACTAATTATGTGACTTCTGAAGGTAATTGGTTGCACCAGATCTTATTTAGGGGCTTCATAGTAAAGGGGGTGTATACATATGCACGCACCACATTTCCGTTCTTTATTTTTAAAATTTTTTTTTAAACAAGTTATTTTTTTCATTTCACTTCACCAATTTGGACTATTTTGTGTATGTCCATTACATGAAATCCAAATAAAAAATCAATTTAAATTACAGGTTGTAATGCAACAAAATAGGAAAAACGCCAAGGGGGATGAATACTTTTGCAAGGCACTGTATAAGGTGGTTACATCAGAACACAGGAGGACAATAGTCTGAGCAAGTTAAAAAATAAGATAATATTTATTAATGATATTGAAAATGCTCATGAAAGCCATGGATGTCCACACACAAACTTAAGTCACTGAAGGCAAACAGAAGCCTTACCGTTACAGATAAAATGGGTTGGGTTGGAGGAGGCTATTAACTTTATTTTGAAGGTTCCAAAGAAATCAAACCACAAATAATGCAAAGTACATTGTCTATTTGCAGAGTCAGTTGCACAGGCTCACATAGAAGTGTATGTTTATTTGTAGTGACTCCCTTGTACTCGAAAAAGGGGGGTGACATGATCGAGGTGTAGCTGATTTGCTGTTGAACATCCATTTGTAACCAACAATTCAAACTTAAATATGATGCTAGTTAGCCCCCCACAGTCATTCAAATCTGGATTAGTATAGGTCAACTCTTCTGTCTTGTTTTGCCAACTCTCAGAGCATATTGCTTTGCACTTTTGACAGGATATTCAATCTATTTCACAAAATATGCTGCTAGGTAGAACAAAGTTATGCAACGGTTTTATAAAACATTGCTTAAGTACATAGCAATTATCTAATGTTATAAAAGGCTTGCAAGAAATGGCCCAGGGATAAGAAAGTAGATAGATCAAACAGTGCATGTAAATGAAAGACTGGTTATCAGAGGAAAAAGTGTTTGATGTTGTGAAATACTCCATAATGGGAAATTGCGAACCCTTATCAAACAGGATTTCAGCTGCTCTTTGGTCAAAACCACGCACGGTAAACAGCTCTATGCTTATTCCCCTCAGTCTCAAGGCCGAATCTCTTGCCTGCTCTCAAATGTCGAAGTCAGGCGGTGACATAATTGGTTTTTAATCGTTGCCAACAAGTAGAAATGTCACCAAGTCTAGATTGATTTCTGATTAGCATGAAAGGAAATGCCAAATATGCTTGCGATTTTTACAGATAAGAGGAAATATATACCATTGACACCTCCATGACACACAGCCCCAACAGACCACAGAAAGCACAGCAGTAAAAATCCATTAAATTACTTATCTTTCATCTCTGTCACTTAAAAACAACAACTGAAACGGTCAAAACCTGCGAGTCAAATTTCTGAAATTCTGTTTTAAGTCTAGGACACATCAACACAAAGTCCTATATAGCCCTAGCAAAGGAACCCAACAGTGTGTGACAGACCACCTGACAAGTGAGTGAGTACAGGGTTGCTTGAAGTTCAGTTCAGTCAAGCATTCTTTAACTGTGTGTCTACTCTACAATTTCATCAAATCAGACTATTGACCAAACATAACGGGTAAATAAAGAGTTGCAGCAATGCTAATTAATCTTATTAAAATAATGTATTGTGCTCCAGAAAAGTAATGACTATTTAACCAGAAAGAAAGACAAGTGACAAATCTACAATATAACTGCCATACCCACTCACATAGCGCCCTTTTCACAGACATTTTGAAAGAGCGATCACCCTTTTACAGATCTTAAAGATCTTCATAGATCTCAAAGATGTTGTGTAGCATTTTTTTTTGAGGAAATGGCACTCTTTGCATTACATTCATTCACAATGCTTGACCCTCCTCTGTCGAGGCCTGGGTAACACAGGTCAGGCCTGAGCCACATCGTCACATTATAGTTTCAGGTATACCTTTTCTTTCTCTCGCCTTCTGAAAGTCCTGCATGCAAATCTGGAGAGAGAGCCCTTAAAGCTCTCCTTCACCACTGGCTCATAAAATTTTAAAGGTCCAATGCAGCCATTTTTATCTCAAAATCAAATAATTTATGGGTAACAATTAAGTACCTTACTGTGATTGTTTTCAATTAAAATGGACAAAAAAAACAAAAATAGCTTCTTAGCAAAGAGCAATTTCATCCAGCATGGGATGGGAACATCCTGTTGAGGACTGGCTCTGTGTCAGAGGTTTTCTGTTATTCAGAAGCAGAACACAGTTCTCTCCCTGCACCTCTTAATCCCCAATCATTCACCACTGGCTATAGGGTGAATGCACCAATTTGTAAGTCGCTCTGGATAAGAGCGTCTGCTAAATGACTTAAATGTATGTAAATGTAAATCATGCGTGCTAGAGTAAGTGCTTCTTTAGCATTCGCCTCTCCTGCCAACTCTCCAATGTTGTTCTCCAATTCCTTGATCATTTGTCCGTAGTGCAATTACATGTTTAATTCGCTGGGCGGTTTTCTCCCACTGTGTCATTTCTCCAGTGAGGAGCCTTGTTTAGAGGTCACACCACTGCAATACAGGCTGGTGAAATTGCTTGCGTTTTAGTTTTGGGCCATGTGGACTTTAATTTTCCTTCACCTCCCCCAGAAAAGCTATACCTTGTCTACATCCCATTGTTTGGCAGGGTATGTTCTTACTTTGAATGACTGTAGAGCAACTGTCTCCTCTCAGCAGACACATTATGTCCAGGCTTTATTGACAGGAAATTGGGAGGACAAATGTTTTTCTTACTACTTTATGTCTTACTTATGTGTCGTCTCTTACTACTGTATGTGTCGTCTTCACTCTCTGCTTGAGTACAGTTGGCCTTTTGACTGTTTAGAGAACTATTTTCCCCATCAGCGGCTTCCTCCTTTAAGCTATTCACTCTGGTATGTATTTGTATGACACATTGTTACTCTCCTGGCCTGCGCTAGCTGGCAGAGTGAAGTTGCACTCTGGCATTGTGAGGGCAGGAACATTCACTATGGGCTGCCTAGGGGTTAGCGGGACAGTCATGGTAACACGCTGACAGGCTTGTACAATGTGACACCAAGGCGTGTGTTCATGAATAAACCATGCTACGGAACAACAACAACTAAAAGTCCAGAAAATCTGAGACAATAGAGTACAGCATCTTCAGTAGAAAATAAAAAAAGAACAGAACAGAAGCAAATGGAAATTACTCTGTGAGAGACAAGGGTGCTGGCTAGACGGTTCTAAGCGGTTCTACTGCAGTGAATCTGCCTGATCACCGTTTCCTCCCTGGGAGAGGTGTACCATGGGAGTTCCTGGAGCCCCTGCTCTCTCTCTCTCTCTCCACCCCGCCTTTCCTCCAAATGCTGTTGGGTTGCAGGCACATCCAACATGTCAGCGGAGGGCCTCCTCGCTTCAATTACAAATTTATACGCATTAATCTTTAAACAGCGCTACGGAACATACTCTATGAAAGGATAATAGAAGGAAAGAAAATGTATGCAGCCAAAAGGTTCTACTATTCCCTAGCCTTCACTTTCCCTTCTTCATAGCCCTGGGCCCTCTTTGTGTTTAGGAATCATTCATACGGAAAACAAAAACAATAAACAGTGCAGGTAATTACTTTTCTACGTTAAAGTTTCCTTGAACTAGTCAAGAGCAGTGATAAGAAACCCAATATGTAATAGCAAATAACATTGATCAAAAGGGTACAATGAAACGTCCCTCCATTGGGATCCCAAACAGCGAGTGATTCACCACTATCAAAAAGTTGTACCAACACACATTGTACAAAACTAGTCCTTATACCCATGTTCACTCAAGCTATTGTGTATGTACTGTAGTTACCATAAGCCCACCCTCCCCTGCTGTCCCCAATTATGACCCATGACCTTAACCCATGTGGGTTTGTGGGTTTGTAAGCCAACCGGAAGTGTTCCTTCAAACTAATCCAACGGGGCTGACATTTTTTCTTAATTATGACTTAATCAGCAGAACAGCCATCAAGCAGATAAATTGTCATGCGCTTCGTGCTAAAAATCTCCAGTGTTCTTTGTCCTCCAGCTCTCGGTATAGACAGCACTTGTGTGATGAAGCTGTATCTGCCAGAAAGCCAGTGGATCCCTCCGTTTTTGTTCTGCTGGCAGATTTGCGGTATTGACGCCCAAGAACGACTTAAACAGCATTGGTGCTTTGTGTACATATCTAGATATGTAAAAAGGTTCTATACAATAAAACTGTTCCCCAAAAATAAATTGCTGAAAAGAATTCAAGACATTTTGAAAATGTCTACATTGTGCATAATCTTTAAGAGTTTTTCCCCTCTCTAGATTGTTTTTTATCATATCTTACATTGCCTCTACTTGTAGAGTAACACATGCCTAAATTGGTTGAGCGGCATCTCCCCTTGACTCCAGAAAGAGTACTCTACAGTTTGATGCCTCAGGAAAACAATGTGTTTTCTTTAATTTACAAAGCGGTCCGCTACTCCTCTGAGACTCTGAGGTTTTTTCTCTTTTCCAAGATAACAGGATCAAGCAATCGTTTATAAAATTCCAAAGTTGATATCTGTAGCTGGAGAAGTTTACCTTGTTCTGTTTCAATACCAGAAATACAATTATCCTCGTTTATTTTTTCATTTCAAATATTTTTTTACTTTCTTCTCATTTCTTCTTTTATATAAAATGAAATTCTTCTCCCGTCCCAGCAAAATCCCAATTTCCTTCATATATTCACAGGAGTAGAGGTTATTCCACATGGGTGTGAGCTCTGGCATGTGCTGTGTGTGTCAGCGTCCGTCCTTCCGGCTATACCCTGGTGGTGGAGTGTGAGTGTGGGTGGGGCAGGGTGTGAGGCAGGGTGTTGTTCTGTCCACTACTGGGGAAGGTGTTGAAGTTGTGCAAGGATTGGAGGCCCTGCATGGTGTTGGGGATCATGGTGATGGTATTGGGGGTCATGAGGGGGATGTCGTCGGGGGAGCGGCGCATGGCTAGCGTGTAGTCTGGCGGGCAGGCAGTTCTCAGAACTACCTCGTGTGGGTGCATGGCGTCGCACTCATGGTCCAGGTCTGTGTGCTTCATCTGCAGGGACATGATCTCCTCCTCCTGTGTGTGCGCCAGGTCGTTGGTCGTGTTGCGCTGGGGGCTGCAACGCCGGTGGACGTCGTGCCGCCGCTTGTCCTTCTTGTAGTAGAGGGCGGCGAAGGCCAGGATGTTGAGGAAGAGCAGCGAGGCACCCACAGCAATGGTGACGCTTAGTTCAGTGGAGTAGTCCCTCTGGTCCACCAGGAAGGGCTGATTCTGACTGTCCTGAGACTCGGTGGGGAATGGCGTAGGGTTAGGCCTCTTGGTGTTGACAGGGATCTTCTTTGGTGTCCTGGGAGTGACCTCCGGTGGGGGGACCTTGGTGGTGGTGGAGATGATCTGGGTGACCTCGTTCAGGCTGTGGAGGTGGGGTACCAGCTCCAGCCACAGGTTGACCTTGTTGGCCCGGTAGTGCTCCTTAATGCGGGGTTTCAGGCCGATGTGGAGGTACAGCTGGTCTTTCTGATTGTAGCGCGTCCACGCCACCTCCTCGAAACGGTTAGGCTTGGTGTGGATGAACTTGGTATCCTGGGGGACCGGCTGGTTGGGGTCACTGCAAGGGAAAGAGGGAACTTAGTATGAGCAAAGCACCACTACACAGCATGAGGAATGGAGGATCATTCCAGCAGAACGAGCACCATTGTCTGGGAATGGCATATGGAGCTGGCTTAACCATGCAAAGTGGAGGCATAAATCTCATAGGTGCCCTGTTTTATATGTCAATTTACTGTTATATATGTAGATCATTAGTATCCCGATGGTCCCTTTGGGCTCTTTGGCTGCAGAGGGAAAAAGCCATTGTCCCCCATTATGCTCCAAAAAACAATTACTTCCATGACTACATGCTTAAAGGCAAATCAAAAAAGAAATTTTATTTTTTTTTCTATGCTGTCCAATCTTTAAAAACTTTTTTTTTAAATACAAAATGGTATTCAATTATTTAACTAGACAAAAATGTAACACACACACACACACACAAGCTTGCTCGCACACACACACACACACACACACACATGCACGCATGCATAAACACATTACAGCTTAAAATAGGTCTCAGTACTGCACTTACCCAGTTTTGGCAAAATTTGTCCAGTAGGTCATCACCACAGCGCTGAGCATGACGTCGTTCTTGGAGAAGTTACAGGGGAACAGTTCTGTGGGACCGATCATGGGCAGGCCAAACACATAGGGGATCTCATCACCGTGGGCTGCGTCTGCCCAGGGGGGCACCTGCTCTGTCTGGCAGTGGTGGTAGAAGGCGTAGAAGTACGTTGGCGACCCAAAGCTGGAGTGGAGGTCTGCTGTGGCCACGGCCGGAGCCACCCACTGGTGATCAGTGAACAGGGCTAGTAGGGTCTTCCTCCTGGTCTCTGGGTTGTGTTTATCAGCCCAGTCCGTGTACATAAACTTTATGGTCTCCCGCAGAATGTCCTTTCCCTCCGGGTAACCGTACAGGTCGTCCACGAAGCTGGACACGGCGTAGTCAAAATCATTGGCCTGGACGCCGTTGTCATTGTCTACGATGAGCTCCACGAACTTCAGGCCCTCGCCCTGGTTGACGCCCAGCATGATGTCATAGTTGAGGAACTCGCCCTGCTCCATGAGGATCTGGGGGTCATCTGGGATCACATCTCCGTCTATGACAGGCCCGAAGGCGATGTGGTACCTGGCTGGCTGGATGTCCTGGTCCACCAGCTCCTTGTAGTGCTTCTTCTGCAGACACTCCACCAGGTCCACTGTGTCTTTCAGGTTACAGCCCACCTTCTTGGCCAACATGCGAGCGTACTTAGCAGGCTGGAAGCTGACGGCCCAGCTGGACAACGCAGTGCCACTCTGTGCTATAGCTCTCTGGAAAAGTCCTGCCGAGAGACAAGATACAAGCCAACCAGAGTCAGACAACGCCTCATAGAATCACAATGCATCACACTCACTCACATTGGAAAATGTTGTTGCCTGTTTCCCCCCAGAGTATGATAGAAAACTATGGTTGGTGCATGTGCCTTTATGTGTCTTAATATGTTTGTTTTTTCTTTTTATCATGTGTTGGTCATTGTTGCGTGTCCTGTCATTGTAGGTCATTGATGATGCATGCTGTGATAAAACAATTTCCCAAGTTGGGATTAATAAAGTAATACTCTACTCTCTACTCTCTCTCTACATGACCTGCCTCTCAGGAGGAAATACCACTGAAACTATGTCATTACTAAACATATCCAAACACAGCGTGATGTGTACTCACACTAAAATCTAAATGTGCACTTGTAGAGTTATGTGCACTTGAAGAGCGATTACATATGCTGGCAATAGACGTAACTCTTCTCACAACCTTGAAAATGTAAAAGTCCATTTGTCTAGCTTAGTTTATTGTGCAATTCCTGGAAGAGCAGAGGGATACATTGTCTCTTGTCTTGACAGACATCTGCATTGTTAACAGAGATTAGTGCTTTACAAACTGACAGACTGCTATTTCAGGGTTTGTTTGCCAAGGTTTGTAGACAAACATGTTACACAATATCATAGGAATTATCATGATATTACATACTATTATATACTATAGAGTATAATACTGCTTTTATGATTAACTACCCATGTCACTACACATGACACACACTACACCTCACACATGCCAGGTAGGAAGACACCATGTATTGCAGAAAGATCAGCAATGGGATGGAGAAAGAGAGGGAGGTAAAGAGAGATAAATAGTATGTGTTACCATGACAACCCATGGGCTCAATATTGAGGAAACTGCAATAGGTGCAATGCTTTTTATTAATTCTGATGAAGTTTTATAAACAAGAAATCACGTCTTTTAATGTACATGTATTTTTATCTTTCTAACAACAAAGAAAACTTGGTTTAATTATCAAATTTTCAAACATGTTGATATGAAATCTTTCTTTCGATCCAACCCACACATTGAGAAAAAGATGGAAATGACAAAGTTGTAGGAGCAGGATTTATCGTACTGTGTCTGAATAGCGTTTCATGCTGTAGTATGAATATTAATAATTTTGCATTTAATTAATCTCTGAAGACAATAAGATTAGAGGGAGCAATACACTGACATGATAACATTTATTGGGGCTCCCCTAAGAATGTGGATTAGGTGGTGAGAGAGTGATGCACTCCAAATAAAGTGGATCTGGGTGTGGTATTCTGGTATGGAATACCATCAGAGCCTATATATGGTCAGTGCTTTAGTCAACTTTAACCTTCTCCCTGGGTTAGTAATCCTTCAAGAGTTTTACACAATATAAGGTCCTAGAAAAACAGGGCAAAAAACAAATGCCAACTGAGCCTGGTATCACAGTATACAGTTGAAGTCGGAGGTTTACATACACATTAGCCAAATTCATTTAAACTCAGTTTTTCACAATTCCTGACATTTAATCCTAGTAAAAATTCCCTGTTTTAGGTCAGTTAGGATCACTACTTTATTTTAAGAATGTGAAATGTCAGAATAAAAGTAGAGAGAATTATTTATTTCAGCTTTTATTTATTTCATCACATTCCCAGTGGGTCAGAAGTTTACATACACTCAATTAGTATTTGGTAGCATTATCTTTAAATTGTTTAACTTGGGTCAAACGTTTCGGGTAGCCTTCCACAGGCTTCCCACAATAAGTTGGGTGAATGTTGGCCCTTTCCTCCTGACAGAGATGGTGTAACTGAGTCAGGTTTGTAGGCTTCCTTGCTCGCACACGCTTTTTCAGTTCTGCCCACAAATGTTCTATAGGATTGAGGTCAGGGCATTGTGATGGCCACTCCAATACCTTGACTTTGTTGTCCTTAAACCATTTTGCCACAACTTTGGAAGTATGCTTGGGGTCATTGTCCATTTGGAAGACCCATTTGCGACCAAGCTTTAACTTCCTGACTGATGTCTTGAGATGTTGCTTCAATATATCCACATAATTTTCCTTCCTCATGATGCTATCTATTTTGTGAAGTGCACCAGTCCCTCCTGCAGCAAAGTACCCCCACAGCATGATGCTGCCACCCCCGTGCTTCACGCTTGGGATGGTGTTCTTCAGCTTGCAAGCAACCCCATTTTTCCTCCAAACATAACGATGGTCATTATGGCCAAACAGTTCTATTTTTGTTTCATCAGACCAGAGGACATTGCTCCAAAAAGTATGATATTTGTCCCCATGTGCAGTTGCAAACCGTAGTCTGGCTTTTTTATGGTGGTTTTGGAGCAGTGGCTTCTTCCTTGCTGAGCGGCCTTTCAGGTTATGTCGATATAGGACTTGTTCTACTGTGGATATAGATACTTTTGTACCTGTTTCCTCCAGCATCTTCACAAGGTCCTTTGCTGTTGTTCTGGGATTCATTTGCACTTTTCGCACCAAAGTACGTTCATCTCTAGGAGACAGAACGCGTCTCCTTCCTGAGTGGTATGATGGCTGCGTGGTCCCATGGTGTTTATACTTGTGAACTATTGTTTGTACAGATGAACGTGGTACCTTCAGGTGTTTGGAATTGGTCCCAAGGATGAACCAGACTTGTGGAGTTCTACAAAAAAAAAATCTGAGGTCTTGGCTGATTTCTTTTGATTTTCCCATGATGTCAAGCAAAGAGGCACTGAGTTTGAAGGTAGGCCTTGAAATACATCCACAGCTACACCTCCAATTGACTCAAATTTTGAATTTTCAATTGAAACTCATTTTCTGGAAATTTCCAAGCTGTTTAAAGGCACAGTCAACTTAGTGTATGTAAACTTCTGACCCACTGGAATTGTGATACAGTGAATTATAAGTGAAATAATCTGTCTGTAAACAATTGTTGGAAAAATTACTTGTGTCATGCACAAAGTAGATGTCCTAACCGACTTGCCAAAACTATAGTTTGTTAACAAGAAATTTGTGGAGTGGTTGAAAAACAAGTTTTAATGACTCCAACCTAAGTGTATGTAAACTTCCTACTTCAACTGTATATCCATCCAGCCGCTAGGAAGGAAGGGAAAAGTAAGGTAGCAGCAGCATCCATAGTTCTTCGTGGTTGTGAGGCAGAGGCATATGAAAGGTGTGGACTATGGCAACTAAAATGTATGCATTTGAGAGAGAGAGAGAGAGAGAGAGAGAGAGAGAGAGAGAGAGAGAGAGAGAGAGAGAGAGAGAATAAAAAGCACCTTATACAGCAATAGCCATGGGAAGATGTTTGTGGGTGGGGGTGCTGCGATTCTTTCGCCGACGGGGGGGTGCAGATGGCTATATCGGTCCACTAATACAGGACTAGTAAAGGCCCAGTGCACTACTTTTATAAAAAATATATACAGTACCAGTCAAAAGTTTGGACACACCTACTCACTCAAGGGTTTTTCTTTATTTTTACTATTTCTACATTGGAGAATAATAGTGAAGACATCAAAACTATGAAAAAACACATATGGAATCATGTAGTAACCATAAAACTGTTAAACAAATATATTTTATATTTTATATTCTTAAAAGTAGCCACCCTTTGCCTTGATGACAGCTTTGCACACTCTTGTCATTCTCTCAACCAGCTTCACCTGGAATGCTTTTCCAACAGTCTTGAAGGAGTACCCACATATGCTGAGCACTTGTTGGCTGCTTTTCCTTCACTCTGAGGTCCAACTCATCCCAAACCATCTCAATTGAGTTGAGGTCGGGTGATTGTGGAGGCCAGGTCATCTGATGCAGCACTCCATCATTCTCCTTCTTGGTCAAATAGCACTTACACAGCCTGGAGGTGTGTTGGGTCATTGTCCTGTTGAAAAACAAATGATAGTCCCACTAAGCGCAAACCAGATGGGATGGCATATCGCTGCAGAATGTTGTTATAGCCATGCTGTTTAAGTGTGCCTTGAATTCTAAATAAATCACAGACAGTGTCACCAGCAAAGCACTCCCCACACCATCACACCTCCTCCTCCATGCTTCACGGTGGGAACCACACATGCAGAGATCATCTGTTCACCTACTATGCGTCTCACAAAGACACAGCGGTTGGAACCAAAAATCTAAAATTTTGACTCATCAGACCAAAGGACAGATTTCCAACGGTCTAATGTCCATTTTTTCTTGGCCCAAGCAAGTCTCTTCTTCTTCTTGGTGTCCTTTAGTAGTGGTTTCTTTGCAGCAATTTGACCACGAATGCCTGATTCACGCAGACTCCTCTGAACAGTTGATGTTGAGATGTGTCTGTTACTTGAACTCTGTGAAGCATTTGTTTGGGCTACAATTTCTGAGGCTAACTCTAATGAACTTATCCTCTGGTGCAGAGGTAACTCTGGGTCTTCCTTTCCTGTGGCGGTCCTCATGAGAGCCAGTTTCATCACAGCACTTGATGGTTTTTGCGACTGCACTGGAAGAAACTTAAAAGTTCTTGAAATGTTCCGTATTGACTGACCTTCATGTCTTAAAGTAATGATGGACTGTCATTTCTCTTTGCTTATTTGAGCTGTTCTTGCCATAATATGGACTTGGTCCGTATTTGGACTGGTAGTGTATATATATATATATATATTTTTTTTAAAATTATTATTATTTTTATTATTATGTTTCAAGGGGTGCTGCAGCACCCTCAGCACTCCTACTTCCCGCAGCTATGTATACAGCCATTCCAGAACAAAATACTCTCATAAACTCAAATCACACAGGTGGCATGCGACACCTAAAATTGTAAAAAGTTGCAACCTCTGCATTATACCTTTGGTTGAATTGCTCCAACGGTTACCTTCAGAATAATGGGACAGGGTCAGGAGGTTGACACAGGAGGCGCCAGCCCCTGATCCAAAAACTGTTATTCGTAAAGGGTCACCACCAAAGAAAGCAATATTCTCGCTAGTCCAGCGCAGGGCTTGGATCAGATCAAGGAGTCCGTAGTTTCCCTTGGAAGCTTGGTCCCCTGTGCTTAAGAAACCTGGAAGACAGAGAGTACAAAACAGAGAACAGATGAATAACCTGGGTTGTCAATAAGGTATGAACACAGAGCTATTGTACATTTATATTTGAGTCATTTAGCAGACGCTCTTATCCAGAGCAACTTACAGTTAGTGAGTGCATACATTTTTCATACTGGCCACCCGTGGGAATCGAACCCACAACCCTGGCATTGCAAGCGCCACGCGCTACCAATTGAGCTACAGGAGGCTATGGTACATTCATATGCAAACATTGATTCTATCTCTGCAGATTTACTCTGATTGTAAATACCCTATTTTACAGAAGTTTAGAATGTAGTTAAAACTTTGCAAGAAAATCCATGTGAAGTTCATGAGAGAGTAAGATCCATTTGATTTGTATTTTTCAGGTATTTTATAGTGTTTGATGATTAAACATCTTCTTGAGTCTACCTGGAAATGACTCACAGCACTCACAGCAGACTCTTTAGGCACAGCAGAGTTTTACATGCAAAACCAACAAGCTTGTGCATTTAATACTTTTAGCAATAAAACAGGAGTTATTACTCCAAAGAGTAAATTTAGGGAAGCTACGGTAAATATAATTCTGAAAATCCAATTTTGCGGCAGACAGATTTAAATCCATACCACATGACAAATGCTCTTGGGATAAAGATAATAAAATGAAGTCATGTATAGATAACATAATATGCAGGCTGTCTCAGCTGCAGACCTGCAAAGGGATATTCTTTAAGAATGCATCATTTTGGAGTCAGAACATGTCATATAGGCCTACATCATTTATAGCTAGGTTGATAACAAGATATCTAGCCAATTAGCCTAGTCAACAAAAACAAAGTATGCACCGTATATACCATAGAAACATATCAAAGTTGTAGATAATCATCAAAGTGTTGCAGAAAATATTGTGTATTATATTTCTGAAGAAATAGTTAAATAAAGTATAATGTATGATGCTTTAGCTTATTAAAGAATTCAGCCAATTGCTTGCTGTTACATCAAGATCCTAAACTATTACCCCTACACTGTTAAATTACTTAATAACCTATTCAAGGTGTTATATATGCTATATGAATGCAAGATATGGTTCTGGGTGCCGAGATTGCAGTAGTATTGAAATAAACACAGAAGCTTATTACCAGTTTAGTAACTTCTTTCAACATTATCAGAGGCATTGTTGTGCAAGCAGCAAGGCCCGGTTCAATTAAAGGGAGAATCATCATTCTTCTCTGCTGTTTCATTCTGGGCCTATCCCACATAGTTCTGTCCAATTAGGGTTTTGTAACACTGCAGATTAATGTGTACCCATATATAAAAGATGGCATCTGTGAAATATAACTGATTAAGTCCATGCATCCCAAAGGAGCAACAGTGAAGCCGTTTAATGGCAGTCCCTATTCCCCATCTCTCTGATTTTCATGCTAAAAGGTCCATTACCTGGGAAATCACCTTGGGAGCGCTTTCCCCTATAGCCCTGAGACATACTATATTTCCTCTTATGGCTCCTTTTCAATTTGCTACTTTCTCTTTGTTACAGCGCTTTATGTTGCTCACCATCTCCTATAGAACTATGCAGATATACAGAGTCAATCTAGGTTGTTATGAGAAAATAGACCAATTCAGCAGACACATAAAATGGATGCGCGCATCACTGTAAGTCGCTTTGAATAAAAGTGTCTGCTAAATGGCACATATTATTATATTACACAACGTATCAAAATGCGATCTCTAGCTCAGAACCTTTCTGTCCTGCAAAATGCACATCCAAACATTGAGACCTGCAGTCTGACAGTCTTTTAATTGACTTTTTCCATTCCATTCAAAGTTTTTTATTTTTTTATTTTTGTTTCTACATCAAGGCTATCTCCTGGAAGCAACAGCAATCTACAAGACATTTAGCTGGGCTGGGCTGGGCTGGGATGGGGTGAGAATCAAAAAGACTAGGCTTGAAAATTGTTCAGTATTTGTATATATTTTATACAGTCTTTTTTGCTCATCTTTATCAAGGCTGCCAATAATGATGGACCTTACCATATATGCATCTACATTGCCTTCAGAAAGTATTTTGTTGCGTTACAAAGTTGGATTAAAATGGATTTAATTTGTCTTTTTTTTTCAACGATCTATACAAAATACTCTGTAATGTCAAAGTGGAAGAAAAATCAGAACATTTGTAAAAATAAATATATCTATAAAAAAAATATATATAAAAAATATCTTGATTAGATAAGTATTCAGCCCCCTGAGTCAATACATGTTAGAATCACCTTTGGCAGCGATTACAGCTGTGAGTCTTTCTGGGTAAGTCTCTAAGAGCTTTCCACACATGGATTGTGCAACATTTGCCCAATTTTCTTTTCAAAATTCTTCAAGCTTTTTCAAATTGGTTGTTGAAACTGTAATTCGGCCACTCAGGAGCATTCACTGTCTTCTTGGTAATCAACTCAAGTCTAGATTTGGCCTTATGTTTTAGGTTATTGGTGGAAAGCAGACTGAACCAGGTTTTCCTCTAGGATTCTGCCTATGCTTAGCTCCATTCTGGGTTTATTTTTATCCTGAAAAACTCCCCAGTCCTTAACGATTACAAGCAAACCGATAATATGATGCAGCCACCATTATGCTTGAAATATGGAGAGTGGTACTCAGTAATGTGTTGAATTGGATTTGCCCCAAACATACCCCTTGCTTTGCCACATTCTTTGCAGTATTACTTTAGTGCCTTGTTGCAAACAGGATGCATGTTTTGAAATATTGTTATTCTGTACAGGCTTCCTTCTTTTCATGCTGTCATTAGGTTAGTAGAGTACAATGTTGTTGATCCATCCTTAGTTTTCTCCTATCACAGCCATTAAACTCTGTAATTGTTTTAAAGACACCATTGTCCCCATAGTGAAATCCCTGAGCGGTTTCTTTCCTTTCTGGCAACTGAGTTAGGATAGACGCCTGTATCATTGTAGTGACTGGGTGTATTGAAACACCATCCAAAGTGTAATTAATAACTTCACCATGCTAAAAGGGATATTCAATGTCTGCCCTTCTTTACAAGGCATTGGAAAACCTCCCTGGTCTTTGTGGTTGAACCTGTGTTTGAAATTCACTGCTCGACTGAGGGACCTTACAGATAATTGTATGTGTGGGGTACAGAGATGAGGTAGTCATTCAAAAATAATGTTAAACACTATTATTGCACATAGAGTTAGTCCATGCAAGTTATTATGTGACTTGTTAAGCACATTCTTACTCCTGAACTTATTTAGGCTTGCCATAACAAAGGGGTTGAATACTTATTGACTCAAGACATTTCAGCTTTTCATTATTCATTAATTTGGAAAACTTTTGAAAAACATAATTCCACTTTGACATTATGGGTTATTGTGTGTAGGCCAGTGACACAAAATCTCAATGTAATTAATGTTAAATTCAGGCTGTAACACAACAAAAAGTGGAAAAAGTAAAGGGGTGTGAATACTTTCTGTACATGCTCACTGTGAAGAGGGAACCCAACACAGTCAATGAAAAAGAGAGTGGTCCCCAGTTAAGTGAACAGTACAGACTGGTGTATGAAGATGTCCAACATCAGCTCACTCCAGACATATGGTGTACATACTGTTGTCTAAGATCAAGGAACAAGCTGTATCTAGGGGCACTTATTGGGGTAGAAACATACAGTGACAGTGCAGATAAAGCAAATCACTGCTCAGATAAGATAGTGGGCTAAAGCAGCAATAACATATCCTCTCAGAGGTGAAATCATGAAGAAAGCATTTGTCATGGAACATTTTTCAAGGTGAGGCGAACACAAGTACTCACTAATCTTGCGGCTATGGTACAATGATGGATATCTGAAGGCTCAAGGAGTGATACAGATGGTTTGCGTGTCCACCTTGTGTTTATGTTGCTCTCTGGTCTAACATTAGGTTAGAACTGTGCTTTGTGAACGAATAAGCTAAGGTAAACAGATCAGAGAGAGAGGCAGTCTCAATTGAATGATCCATGTTTGAATCACTAACTAGGTTTCCATCTAATTGGCGACAGATCTTCATACGAATATTCAAAAATCAGCATAAAGAAAATATGCAAATGTTTTCAGCAGTGGTGTGTTTCCACCAAAATGATTTGTTGCGGATAAAAGTCACTGGGTGATGATGTAGTGCACACAAAATTTACTTTTTCGCTTACGTTTTCCTGTACTGAATATAAATCAAAGGTTAAATGTGTTACCATAGCATTTTCAACTCTACCGATAGTTTTGTCACAAAAACTGTTGCCTTAAATAGAAAATGTGCCTACTCTGGTCTTGGCACGTGCACTCTAGCCAACAGCTCGCAGATACAGTGCGGGTAGGGTGGTCTACATGATGAAATTATTATGGATAAGAGTGAGATTAATTTTATTTGTCCAACGGCAGTCAAGCATCAATAATCATGTCGCCCAAGAATAATACACTCAATATTTATTGAAAAGGAGCATCAAGATCAAAATGCACTTTCACCACCCTGTGAAGTTCATCATAATTTATTTAATCTGTAGCCTAATAAACTGTATGGTTTCCTGTGTCATAGTGGGAGGACCAAATAAAATAAAATAAAATAATATTTTATTGGCCACATGCACCGAATACAACAAGTGCAGACATTACAGTGAAATGCTTACTTACAGCCTGTTACGTTCCCCAGTTTCTGTGTTGTAGGTTGTGTATTTTCATGTATGTATTTCAGGAAATGGGTTCCTGAAATTCCCCAACAAGCAGCTGATTGGTCAAAACATTGATGATTGGAGAGCTGACCCTGCGCCCTCGTCAGGACGCAGCTGTCTCCAATTACCAACTCCTTCTGAAGCTATATAAGCCCCAGTTCTGTTGCTCAGAAGAAGAGAAAGGGGAACCAGAATTGCTGAGAGTTACAGCATGTTGGTTGTATGCTAAGAGTTTTGGTATGTACTGTGTTGTTGTTGCTCTGATAACCAATTGTAATGTTTTGTGTTAGTTTGTGGCTCAGAGTTTCTTTAATGTCCTGAGTTAGTTTTTCTCAGGTTTTTGTTGTGAACCAGTTTGTGCTATTTTTGTTTCATTTGTTCCCAAGGGGGGAAGGGGAAGGCACCTAGGGAGTGCTTAGGCAAGAGGCCCGCGGGCATACATTACCCGTAGAAGTGGACTGTCTATGCACACTAGGACAGACCTGGGCGGACCATCCCTTGTATTTTGGTTAGTGCACCAGGTGGTGCTAGTTCAGTAAGTAGTGGGTAGGCAGGTAAGGTAGGAGAGGGGGCTTTGATATTTACTTTCTTTGCTTTGGTTCCGTCCAGCCCCTTTTCCCCAAACTTACCGTGCGAAGGAATAAATTCCCTGTTAACGGTATTCTTTGCCTTTTGTCATCCTTACTCACACCTACAGTCCCATACCTCTTTCACACCACGGAGAGTTGAGTTGTAGCAGGGTGTTGCGTTCCCTCTTCCGAGGCGTGCGTAACACAGCCCTTAACCAACAGTGCATTATTTTTAAAAATAAAACAACAGTAGGGAGGCTATATATACAGGGGGGTACCGGCTAGTTGAGGTAGTTGAAGTAATATGTACATGTGGGTAGAGTTAAAGTGACTATGCATAAATAATTAACAGAGTAGCAGCAGCGTAAAAGGATGGGGTGGTGGGGTAGTGCAAATAGTCCGGGTAGCCATGATTAGCTGTTCAGGAGTCTTATGGCTTGGGAGTAGAAGCTGTTGAGAAGTATTTTGGACCTAGACTTGGCACTCCGGTACCGCTTGCCGTGCGGTAGCAGAGAGAACAGTCTATGACCAGGGTGGCAGGAGTCTTTGACAATTTTGAGGGCCTTCCTCTGACACCGCCTGGTATAGAGGTCCTGGATGGCAGGAAGCTTGGCCCCAGTGATGTACTGGGCCGTACGCACTACCCTCTGTGCCTTGCGGTCGGAGGCCAAGCAGTTGCCATACCAGGCGGTGATGCAACCAGTCAGGATGCTCTCGATGGTGCAGCTGTAGAATTTTGAGGATCTGAGGACCCATGCCAAATCTTTTCAGTCTCCTGAGGGGGAATAGGCTTTGTCGTGCCCTCTTCACGACTGTCTTGGTGTGTTTGGTCCATGATAGTTCGTTGGTGATGTGGACACCAAGGAACTTGAAGCACACCATATCATCGCGTGACTCCAAGTTTAATACGATATGATGGTTATTATATTAATAGTTGCGCATAAAGGCATTTCCACCACAATTTCTCGCATAATTAATGTTACCGAAACAAAAAGATCCCACCATGTTGAACAAACAAGTTTTCTTTTGGCATATATACAATTGTACCGAAACTACCTGTTTCCATTACAGCTGTCGAGGTTTTATTTTTATACGGTATGACTTTACTCGCCTAAAATGGACTGTTGAATGGTGTGTTTGTCATTTTACTGTACGATATATATTTTTACAAACATGGAGTATAGGATTCAGTGTCATCCTTTTTGTTCCCTATATGGTGTGTTTTCCTTTGCTAGATGGGATACAGTGAGGGAATTAAGTATTTGATCCCCTGCTGATTTTGTATGTTTGCCCACTGACAAAGACATGATCAGTCTATAATTTTAATGGTAGGTTTATTTGAAAAGTGAGAGACAGAATAACAACAAAATAATCCAGAAAAACGCATGTCAAAAATGTTATTAAATGATTTGCATTTTAATGAGGGAAATAAGTATTTGACCCCTCTGCAAAACATGACTTAGTACTTAGTGGCAAAACCCTTGTTGGCAATCACAGAGGTCAGACGTTTCTTGTAGTTGGCCACCAGGTTTGCACACATCTCAGGAGGGATTTTGTCCCACTCCTCTTTGCAGATCTTCTCCAAGTCATTAAGGTTTTGAGGCTGACGTTTGGCAACTCGAACCTTCAGCTCCCTCCACAGATTTTCTATGGGATTAAGGTCTGGAGACTGGCTAGGCCACTAAAGGACCTTAAGGTGCTTCTTCTTGAGCCACTCCTTTGTTGCCTTGGCCATGTGTTTTGGGTCATTGTCATGCTGGAATACCCATCCACAACCCATTTTCAATGCCCTGGCTGAGGGAAGGAGGCTCTCACCCAAGATTTGACAGTACATGGCCCTGTCCATCGTCCCTTTGATGCGGTGAAGTTGTCCTGTCCCCTTAGCAGAAAAACACCCCCAAAGCATAATGTTTCCACCTCCATGTTTGACGGTGGTGATGGTGTTCTCGGGGTCATAGGCAGCATTCCTCCTCCTCCAAACACGGCGAGTTGAGTTGATGCCAAAGAGCTCGATTTTGGTCTCATCTGACCACAACACTTTCATCCAGTTCTCCTCTGAATCATTCAGATTTTCATTGGCAAACTTCAGACGGGCCTGTATATGTGCTTTCTTGAGCAGGGGGACCTTGCGGGCGCTGCAGGATTTCAGTCCTTCACGCCGTAGTGTGTTACCAATTGTTTTCTTGGTGACTATGGTCCCAGCTGCCTTGAGATCATTGACAAGATCCTCCCGTGTAGTTCTGGGCTGATTCCTCACCGTTCTCATGATCATTCCAACTCCACGAGGTGAGATCTTGCATGGAGCCCCAGGCCCAGGGAGATTGACAGTTATTTTGTGTTTCTTCCATTTGCGAATAATCACACCAACTGTTGTCACCTTCTCACCAAGCTGCTTGGCGATGGTCTTGTAGCCCATTCCAGCCTTGTGTAGGTCTACAATCTTGTCCCTGACATCCTTGGAGAGCTCTTTGGTCTTGGCCATGGTGGAGTGTTTGGAATCTGATTGATTGCTTCTGTGGACAGGTGTCTTTAATACAGGTAAACAAGCTGAGATTAGGAGCACTCCCTTTAAGAGTGTGCTCCTAATCTCAGCTTGTTACCTGTATAAAAGACACCTGGGAGCCAGAAATCTTTCTGATTGAGAGGGGTTCAAATCCTTATTTCCCTCATTAAAATGCAAATCAATTTATAAAAAATTTTTACATGCTTTTTTCTGGATTTCTGGTTGTTATTCTGTCTCTCACTGTTCAAATAAACCTACCATTAAAATTATAGACTGATAATTTCTTTGTCAGTGGGCAAACATACAAAATCAGCAGGGGATCAAATACTTTTTTCCCACACTGCATGTCACAGTGTGTCTGGGGTCGGCTTAAATCATATAATCGCAACCGAACCAAGAGAAAAGGCAGATGGAAAAATGGTTTACTTGAAATTCAGCTTTCTGCACAGTCTTGCTGTGTAGCCTCTAATCCTCTTCCACTGTCTTATGACTGCCAAACGAGAAAAATAAATCAGTCCATCTGTGTCACACAAAAGACCACTTAACATGTATTACATTCACAGCCCATGGCAGAGAGTACCAAAAACCGCCGGGAAAGGGCCATTACCTGAAGGAAAAAAAATAGAGTTCACAGGTCCATCTCTTGGCAAGGAGTGTCTGCAGTCCCTCTAATTGCCATTTCTGGAGTTTGTGTAAAATACTAGAGGCTTTTATTATGAAACCTGCAGAGTTTTGACAAAGCCACATCAGGCCAAGCAAAATCCTGATTGAGGGAAGATACCTCTATCCATCTAATAAAACATTGCACACCTCAATAAAAGATCCACAGAAAGGCATACTTTAATAATTTCCTCTAAAGGTAAAGACGTTGAATTCATCTCCATTTTGGCTTGAGAGTCATAGGGAAATAGAGAGGGAAGAAAAGGCGTAGAAGAGAAAGAGGGAGTAAAGCAAAATAGGATTCCCGATGCAATGAAAAAATTGTCTGAGACATTATTCCCAAGTCCTTTCAAGGTGAGGAGACAGAGTAAGGCAACCATGCTTGGCAGGAGCTTGGAATTATTCACTACATGACCAAAAGTATGTGCACACCTGCTCGTCGATCATCTCATTCCAAAATCATGGGCATTAATATGGAGTTGGTCCTCCCTTTGCTGATATAACAGCCTCCACTCTTCATTCAGCCACAAGAGCATTAGTGAGGTCGGGCACTGATGTTGGGCAATTAGGCCTCGCTCGCAGTCGGCGTTCCAATTCATCCCAAAGGTGTTCGATGGGGTTGAGGTCATGGCTCTGTGCAGGCCAGTCAAGTTCTTCCACACCGATCTCGACAAACCATTTCTATATGGACCTCACTTTGTGAATAATTTTTTGGGGACGAACTGACTTGTTGGAAAGGTGGCATCCTATGACGGTGCCACATTGAAAGTCACTGAGCTTTTCAGTAAGGCCATTCTACTGCCAATGTTTGTCTATGGAGATTGCATGGCTGTGTGCTTGATTTTATACACCTGTCAGCAACGGGTGTGGCTGAAATAGCCAAATCCACTAATTTGAAGGGGTGTCGACATACTTTTGTATATATAGTGTATATTCGGATGTTTGTCACCCTTGGCATTACGAAAAGAAACATTGCCCAAATGTGTTGGTGCTCTTTTTCACACAATGCATGGACAAATAAACCTCTATGAAAAATTTGCTACAAAATATGTACAGTGCTAGAACAGCAACACATTCATACCTGCACTCTCCATACGCTAGTACTGGCATGGAGGTAACAATGGAGCATACTAATAAAACACAATGCATTCTTTAATTTAAAGATGCACACAGGGGTTGGAATTCTGTAGGTGAATTCTCCACCACATTGGTTACTTTTCCATGATTATGTTTTTTTATGACCAGTAATTTATTCAAATGCCACAGTATGCTGATGCTCCTCCTTAGGTGTTCATAAAAACTAACCTAACGTAGCAGGCGTAAAATAAACGCCTGAGTGAAGTCCCCACATCTGTTTTTCAGGGGAAACGGAAGCTAGGTTGAAGATACTGTATCCCTGAAAACTGCGATGTTAGTGGTTTCTGCCGACCCTGCATAGTCTACATAAAAACAGTCGCTAATCTTGAAGGAGATTCTCAACTTTTGAAGACAGATGAGATCATAGTGCTTCATTTGGATGGTGGTTGAACTACGCTGAGATATCCCCAGTATCTAGCCCAAGGAATCCCCCGCTTCCCTCCCTCAGTCCTCTCTATCTCCCCAGGTACCTGGCCAGTCTGACTGCTGGCTATTGAACAGGTTATCAAAAGCAATCTTTCTCATTATCCTGCCGAGATGTGACTTGACAGTCCTATTTATGACTTGAAATTAATAAATGTAAGACTGAAACTGCTGCTCTATGCGAAATACACACACACGCTATAATTCCCATCTCCTCAATGCACCTTAAAGAAGAGAAAACAACAACATTTCAAAACAATTGTGAGAAAATATTTGATCTTCTTATTATACAAAAATAATATTCTGTCTGAATGCCTGTTGGGAAGATATTGGGGCTCGTGTGAGAAAGGGGTTGATTTTCACAGGCAAAATGGATGCACATTCAGTATGTGGATATAGCATAATAACATATGCAAAGCCATTCCAAATGAAATCCAAACACAGGGAGCAGCGGAATTATCCTTCTAAGGTAAATGAGAGAGATGAAAGTTAAATGTACATTTCACTAATGGGGAAGATAACAATCCTCCTACAGTCAGGATGCTGCATTATTCTGCAAACATTAGCCATTTCAGATTTGTATCATCCTAATGTCCCTGTCATATCCCATTTCAGTAGACAGTGAAATTAACTTGGGCGAAGCCACTGTTTGCTAATGTGAATGAACACATCACATAAGTCCATGCTGAGACTCTGCTGTATCGTTCTAAAAGCTCCATATTTCAACAAATGGGTCTGGAAAAAAACCTTCTAGAAAGGTTCAGATGTTTGAAGAAAAATGTGTTCCACATAGTATCTGAGTTCTATTCTCCCAGCTAGTAATTGTGTGTGTGTGTGTGTGGTTGCTGTTGGTGGGGTTTCGGTGGATCAGAGATACTTTAATATATTCAGTTCCAGTTGAGGTGCACAGGGGAGGCTAATGAAAGCTAACGCAAACACTTGCACTTATTCCACTTGGCTAACTTTGCTTAATGGATGCACAGGATCCACCTGAACAGAAAATTGAAAACAGAGGCGCTTGGGTAATCCTGCATAGACTTTAGTTGTACAGAATCCATGTGTTCTTCTACCTTAGAAAATGATCAACTGAGGGACTAATGGACTAACACAACAAAGGATCAATATTTCACTCTATCAGTCTAGTTTTTCAGCACTAACAGAATCATCAATGGATTGGTATTTTATACTGCATTCTGGGCTTTGTGAAAATGTGTACAGAAAGCCCAGTTACTGTAACACATTGCAGCATGACATAATGTACCTCTACTCAGCGCAAAATATTTTTCAATTACTGTAAATATTTTACGGTAAATGCTGTATGTTTGTCCTGCGAGAGAGAACATATTTCAAATGCAAATATTCTATCTGACATCCATTTACAGTGTACCTTCAGCTAAAGGATAGAAAACACCCATGCTGTACTAACATGGCAATTTATCTCTTCCCGTGTTAGTCGCTAGTGCAATCAAATTACTCTGTCAAAATCACATGAAATAATGTACAAATGTCTTGCTATGCATACACATGTTTTAATTTGTGTTCAGCCCCCTCCCATCCATAAACAAATCCCTCACCAAGGCCATCAACTCAGTCTTGTTACTGGGTGTTTCGAGCTGCTGAACTGAATCCATGGGATGGTAAGTAGTGCAGTGTGTTAGCCAGCTAGGGCCCAGCACAGCAGAGTTGATGGGAGATGTAATTACAGCTTTGAACAGTGTGTGACTAAGCTGTTTCACAGGCCACAGAGGCATTGTTTATTTTCCTTATAATAAGTAGGTCTAGACTCGATTCTAATTCATGACTAGAGAGTGGAAATAAAATATGCCCCACTTTATAGGGCCTAAAGAGGAAGTTATCATTTCAAAACTGTTCCTATTTCTGTTGTATTGTTATAGCTCCTGTGTCACGACCTCCTACGAAGCTGCCTCCTCTCCTTGTTCGGGCAGGCTTCGGCATTCTTCATCACCGGCCTTCTAGCCACTGCCGCTCCTCTTTTCATCATTCCATTTGTTTTGTCTTATTTTTCACACACACCTGGTTTATATTCCCTCATCAGTCGCTATATAAGTATTCACTCTGCTCCCCATGTCTTTGTGTGTTATTTTTTCCATGTGGAGGTGTCGCTAGCTCGGTTGAGCATTATGTACCTTTGTCGCCGGGATATTCACCTGTGTGTTTTTGTTTTCCCAGTACCCACATTAGGCGCACTGTATTTGATTTACGCATTGTGATTCACACCTCCTGCGCCTGACTCCGTCTGAATCATCCGCTACAGAATAACACACCCAACAGCATGGAGTCAGCAGGAGTGAGGAATATGACTGGAGTCTTTGAGCGGGTCCGGGAGCATTCCAACATGCTGTCTCTCAGGGAAAGCCCTGGAGTGGGCCAATGTGGTCTTGAGTGAAGGAGGAGACGCGTTGGACAACTACGGAGAGTTCGCTCGCCTCTTCCGGGCAGTCTTTGATCATCCCCCCCAAGGAAGAGAGCGGGCGAGCGTCTGTTCCATCTGAGGCAGGGGACGAGGACCGCGCAAGACTTTGCCGTGGAGTTCAGAACCCTAGCAGCTGTGTCCGGGTGGAACGAGCGGTGCCTCATTGACCAATTCCGATGCAGCCTGCGTGAGGACATCCGAAGGGAGCTAGCCTGCCGGGATACCACGCTGACCTTCGACCAACTGGTCCTCGTCCCCTGCCTCAGATGGAACAGACGCTCGCCCGCTCTCTTCCTTGGGGGGGAGTGTTAGCCAGCTAGGGCCCAGCACAGCAGAGTTGATGGGAGATGTAATTACAGCTTTGAACAGTGTGTGACTGTTCCGATGGAACTGGGTGGTGCAGCGGTCCAGAAGAACTGAGAATGTCAGATCCAGTGTCACTCTTGTGGCAGAAGAGGACATTCTGCTGCACGCTGTCGTCAGAGTTCTTCTGGTTCTGGAGGCGGCAGGCAGGGCACTCTCGCGTCACCCCAGGGAGCGCAAATCCACACTCGTTCAGAGCCCTCTGCTGCGCATTTAACCATCCATGTCCACATCCCTGATTACATGGTATTTCCACAGTGTAAGGCGCTGGTAGATTCAGGCGCAGCTGGGAACTTTATGGACAGGTCTTTAGCTCTTAGTCTACGTATTACATTGGTTCCCCTGTCCATTCCATTGCCCATCAAACACTTGACACTCGACCATTAGGGTCAGGTTTTGTTAGGGAGGTTACAGCACCAGTCTACATCGATGACATCCTGGTGTATTCCGCTACACGCGCCGAGCATGTGTCCCTGGTTCGCAGAGTGCTTGGCCGACTGTTGGTGCATGACCTGTATGCCAAGACTGAAAAATGTCTGTTCTTCCAACAATCCGTCTCCTTCCTCGGATACCACATCACCACCTTAGGTGTGGAAATGGAGGGAGACCGCATTTCAGCCGTGCGTAAAGGAGGTGCAGCGCTTCATTGGCTTTGCCAATTACTATCAGAGGTTTATCCGGGGCTTTGGCAAGGTCGCAGCCCCCATCACCTCTCTGTTGAAGGGTGGGCCGTCACGGCTGTACGACACAGAGGAGAGGCCCATTGACAACACCCCCATACTCCCGGCCTCCTGCATTGTGGCGCCGGTGGTGTGGGCGGTGGACGTGGACATAGAGCGGGCGTTACGCAAAGAGCCATTTCCACCTCAGTGCACCGCTGGGCTTCGGTACGTGCCGTCTAGTGTCCGTGATTGTCTTATCTATTGGGCACACATGTTCCCCTCCTCTGGTCACCCAGGCATCGGCCGTACAGTGCGCTGCCTGACCGGGAAGTACTGGTGGCCTACCTTGGCTAAGGACGTGATGGTGTTTGTCTCCTCCTGCTCGGTGTGCGCCCAGAGTAAGGCAACTAGGCACCTTCCAGCAGGTAAGTTACATCCCTTACCAGTTCCACAACGGCCATGGTACCACTTATCCATTGATTTCCTAACTGATCTTCCCCTCTCTCAGGGTAACACCACCATCCTGGTCGTTGTGGACCGCTTCTCTAAAGCCTGCTGCCTCCTTCCTCTGCCCGGTCTCCCCACGGCCCTGCAAACTGCGGAAGCCCTGTTTATTCACGTCTTCCGGCACTACGGGGTGCCAGAGGACATAGTGTCTGACTGGGGTCCCCAGTTTACATCCAGGGTCTGGAAGGCGGTCATGGAACGTCTAGGGGTCTCGGTCAGCCTGACCTCTGGGTTTCACCCCAAATCTAATGGGCAGGTGGAACGGGTGAATCAGGATGTGGGTAGGTTCCTTCGGTCCTACTGCCAGGCCCAGCCGGGGGAGTGGTCGGTGTTCTTGCCATGGGCCGAATATACCTAGAACTCTCTCCGCCACTCCTCTACTAACATGTCACCACCTGGAACCTGCCCCTCCACCTGCCCTGCCGGAAGCTGAGCCCGCGGTTTGTGGGGCCGTTCAAAGTCCTGAGGAGAGTAAACGAGGTTACGTATAGGTTGCTACTCCCTCCTGATTACCGTATTAACCCCTCGTTTCACATGTCTCTCCTCAGGCCGGTGGTGGCTGGTCCGC